ACAATAAATGACCTAGGAGCCTTATCAGTTGTTTGGGGCTTGCTACGTAAGCCATCCCATGGGAAAGAGCCATATGCTATGGGGGCTGGAATGTCCAGGACACAGGATCCAGACCTCCAAGGCCAGACTTTACCCAGACTTTAGTGAAATCCACAAGCCCATGTGCACACCTTCTGTGTACCTGGTCCTGTGCCCCCACCTTCCTGTAATTGAGAGGAGGGAGGTGGTCCATAGTGGACATTTGCACTGGTCATTAAAGGGAAGATGCTGAGAATAGGCATGAAGTCCGATCCAGATAACAACCTCCCTCGGAACTCCTACCAGTCTGAGCATTTTCTGGCAGATTCACCCAGAGTGCTGAGGTTTAAGGACCGCACTAGAATCATGCAATCCTGGGTTTGGATCCTGAATCCACTACAACATAGCTTTTAGACCTTGAGCAAATTAATTTATCTGCACTCCAGTGTCCTCATCTTAAAAGGGACATAAAACCAAGCCAAGTTCATGGATGTTGTCAGGCTCAAATAAGATAATACATCGGAGACACTTAGCCTGAAACACGGCATAGAACAAACATTAATTAAATGTTCATGCTCATTATTATAATATGTATAAGGTTTTAATATTGATTAAAAGTTAAATATTGAGATTTCACCTGACCTCAGGTATCAACAGAATTAGAAAGAAGAAACAGTCGTCTGCAGATTGGGCTCTTATCCTAGAGGGTTCCAAGGCAGAGTCTGTGATCATTCAGCCCCGAAATGATGTTCATGATGTTGGCTTTCCAGGCCATTAATTCAAGAGCTCCACCCCTTTTCCCCAATGCGGCTGCCTGCTCTGGGAGATAAGCCCAGTTCTATTTAACCCTATTTATTCCCCCCAAAGTGGTCTCCATCTCATTTAGTCAGAGAGCATCAGAGAAAGAGAAATTGACCTCAGTATAATGAAAGTGGTGTGCATTTCACCTGGGCTCAGGTTCCAGGGTACTTGGCAGGAATCTTGGAAGCCCCTTTTAGGCAGCCCTGGTCCCACAAAACTGGTGGGAACTTGGGTGGCCCTAGGAAGGTAGCCCCCATGCCCACTCCCAGCATAGGCATTGGCACTTCCTGCTTCTTTACCACACACACTCCTCCCCAAGCTTTCATTACCGCTGGCAAAGAGGAAGGCTATGTGCCTCACTGGCTGGCTCCTCTCCTGGCATGCCCTTATCTGTCTCTTTGCCACCCCTCTTCTTGCTTCTCCCTTTTCATGTCTTTCTTGCCCCTCAGCCTCCCTTTGTTCTCTCGTTTCCCCTTCAGCAGTGACATAGGATGTTCATGCATTTATGGGACCCTGGTTGTTGGTCTCCATGTGCATCTGCATGTGTGTTCTTGTGTCTGGGTGCAGTCAGTGTGAGTAAAACAGTCCATGTGTGTGCCTGTTTAGTGACTCTGCCCATATGAGTGAGGCTCTGAGAGCTGTCCTGGTTTCTTTGTGTGGTGAACAGCCTCAGCACAAAGCAGGTATATATCTGTCTGTGTGCAGGTCTGCCCTCAAACCAGTGTGTGCCAATCTGTGTAAATTTGCTGATATGCTCCAATCTGTGTGTTGATCCATTCACATGTGCATCTTTTGTGCGTATCAGTGTGTGGGGGGCCAGGCTGCCTCAAAGTCCTGTCATTGAGGGACCCTTAGAGAAGCTATAGGGTAGATTTGGAGGTTGTTGGCTTCTCTAGAGCACAAGCAAGCTCATTACCTTGGACCAAGGGAGCTGAAGGCTGAACCAGGGACAGAAGCTAGGTTAAGTCCTCTTGTTTGTCTCCTGGGGCTTCCTGTCAGGTGCCCTGCCCTCTGCCTTTCTCCTGATCTAGGTCCCCTTCCCTTCAAGTGAGCTTAGTATTGAAAGTGGGTGGAGACAAAGAGGTAGGGCAAAAGCAGAAGAGGTTATATTTCAAGTCATCCCAACTCTTTGACCCAATCACAGGCTTTTTCTTATAAATGCACTTTTGCCCAAAGTGACAAATGGCTATGGGATACAGTAATAATAACAACAATAACTGCCTGTGTAGTGCTGTAAGCTAAGCAGTGGACTGCTAACCACAAGGTCAGCAGTTCAAACCCACCAGCTGCTCCTTGGAAGCCTTAGACAGGGTCATTATGAGTTGAAACCAACTCAACAGCACTTAGCAACAACAAAGGCATTTTATATGCCATATCTCCTTGTAGTCTCTTAATAACTGTATAAGGTTGCTACTGTTATTTTTCCATTTTACTGAAGAAGACATGGAAGCTAAGAGAAGTTAAGTAGCCAGCCCAATGTCACACAGTATGTGATGGGCAGGACTTTCCATTAAGGGGTGGGCTGTTTGAGAGCTTGCCAACTTCAGCCTAGGAAGCAGTGATTTCTTGAAAACAGCAAAAAATAGGGAAAGCGAGTAGTCCCTTTCCCCCAGCTGCTGGCATCCAAGGGGGCTGGAATCTGCTTTTAAATTTTCTCTCTTAACTCTGAGATGACCAAACACCAAACAAAAACTCAACCCAGGGGAAGGGATAAAAGGACAAGCTATTAGTAGTGCTCTATGAGAATCTCTCCCAGACCTAAAAAGTGGGGTAAGGAGTATAGGGAGGGACCGTGCATGCACTTCCCCCAACAGCCAGAAGAGTCACATACATAGAGTAAGGGCTATGAGAAGGTTCCATGAGTGAATAAATGGCCCCATTTCTCACTCCCATCCTAGAATGAAAAAGTATAAAAGCTTACCTCATTGCTGACAGCAGTAAATACCATTCAGGAAAATAAAAGAGAGGGTAAGCACCTGGATCCTCATAGAACCCACACATGAATCAACAATGACCAGCTGATTCATGTACCACTTGTCAAAGGAGGCATTAACAGCCATCTCAGGTCTGGGTGTGTACGGGGCTGGATGGGCACTAGGAGCCCTACAAAGGCATAAACCTCTGCCCAGATGGTTCCTGTGGATCAAAAGACTTTCACCAGGAACAAAAGCAAGGGGAATGGGGGCTAGGAGGTGGAGATATCTGTCTATAGAAATCTGTAGAAGGGAGCTCTCTCCATCATCTGGGCTGCTGGGAAGGGAGGTCTCTCTAGACAAGGCTCCTGAGATGTGAGTTCAGTTCTGCTTCAGAGTTTCTTTTGAAGGAGACAATGTCTGTGTTTGGGGAGGAGGAGTCTCTGTCCTGGCTTTATTTGGGAGCTCTGCCTGTCTTTGAGGGTCTATTTCGGGAAGGGGTCTGTGGGGAGGTTTTTTGTTAATGTGGCTGGTGAGAGGGGAGGGTTCCTCAGGTTAAGGGGTCTCTTGATTGGGGTGAAGGGCTTTCCTGAGCTCTAGAGGGAGGGATTAGGAACACCTCTGTCCAAATATGCTGGAGGTTCCCTATCTAAGCAGAAGGTTCCAGAAGACTAACTCGGAGAGCATGTGTGTGTCCTGGCAGCTCCAACTCGCTGGCCAAAGTCCTCAGAGCGCCCTATTTGTGAGCGGACCTGAATTGATCTATGAATACTGAAGGGAGCAGAAGACTGACGTTCCCAGAGAAAAAGAGCCTCGGCAAGAAGACATTGGGGACCTTTTAATTACTCCTTTCCTTCAGCCGTCCTCCCAGTCACAGCTGCTAAAGAAGGACTTGCCAGGTCGATGAGCGCTACGGTTTACAGTCCCCAAGGAGTCCAGGCAGAAACCCAATTGAGAACCACAGAGAGCAGCGGACCCCCCAAGGAGGCATCTACAAATGGAATCACACAGGCATGAACGCAAATAACCCTTTCAGTAATACATAGACACACGCGATCCTGTGCACACCTATGCACAGGGACACAGATCACCTCCGTAACAAACACGCAGACTCAAAAGCACACAAAACTACACATTCACAAACTACACAAGGTGACAAAACGCCACTCTCACCGTCACTCACAGATCCAGCCCAAAGATCTATCTGATGCAGCATCCGTCTTTGTCTCTCGGTCTCTCTCAGTCGCGCGCGCACACACACACGCACCACACTCAACTGAAACAGCTCAGGCTCCCACGACCCTGGCGGCAGCGGTCAGAGCAGCGCCGGAGAGCACCGCGCGTCCCCGCGCCCCGGGTCCTAAGCAGAGGTGATCTGCGCCCCTGTATAGCGGACTTCGGCTGCGCCCCCATATAGCGTAGGCATTCGTCGACCCGCCATGAAGAGGTTGGGAGGTGTCCTCACCAAGTCCTGCCTCCTTCCAACCGCACTTTTCCCCTACAAACGAAAAGAAAACGAAAAGCCAACCTTTCGCCTCCATTCTGCACACATTTGGAGAGCGGTTGGTGGGCGAGTGACCCACAGAATCGCTTTATCGCGCCGTCCCAGGACGCGCAGAGACAGCCCCCAGAGACGGAGCTCAGAGCTGGGCATCCTTGAAAGTGGCCCATATAGGACTCTTCTGCCCTCAAGTGGGGCTTGTGACCAGAATTAAGAGGAATGGTAAGAGACAAATAGACGTCTGGACGACCCGCGCCGCCAAAGTAGAGTAACTCAGTCCTACTGGCTTTCTGGGTGCCCAGGCCAGTCCTTAGTTAAAGAATCCCGGGCCTCGCGGCTCACGGACGTGGAAGGGGTTGTCTAGGGGCGGGGGGACCGCTAGAATCAGCTCTCAAGTGCCCCCTCCTTGCGGAGGCAAAGTGGGAAGGGCCAGGAAGAGAGCTTAGCACCTCCCCCAGAAATGCAGCACTCCAGCCCCCACTCCGGTCCTCCGCACCCCCTCCTTCTTGGTGCGCTCCCTTTCACCACCTTCCCAAGGGCGCCCTTTGCTTGCCCCATCTCCCTTAACCTGAATCCCGTCGTGCCTCTTTTCTCTCCTCGCCCCCTCCCCAAGTCCCCTGCCTCCGGGTGTTTCCCTTGCTCCAACCCTCCTCCTCCCCCTGGGTTCAGAGGAGCGGGAACGCAAAGGACTACGCACTGGTGGGGGCGCCGCGCCAGCCTCGCGTAGCTGCTCTGACGCCGCCGCCGCCGCCGCCCTCCGCAGCCCAGCCCGCGCCCCGCGGCAGCTCCGCAGTGCTCTCGCCGCCGCCGCTCTGCCAGACCCGCTGCTCGTCCGCCCGCCCGCCGGTCCCGTCCGGAGCGAGCCTGGAGCGCGGGCCGAGAGGGTCATGAGCCAGAGTGCCCCCGGGCGCTGCGGGGAGAGCAAGCGGAGATAGCGGCCTCGGGTCGTCCGGCCCTCGCTGCCTCGTCCTTGCATCCCCAGCTCCTTCTGTACTCCCCTGAGCCCCCTCGGGCTCGGCCGCCGCCATGGCCACCCTACTCCGCAGCAAGCTGTCCAATGTTGCCACGTCGGTATCCAACAAGTCCCAGGCCAAGGTTAGCGGCATGTTTGCCAGGATGGGCTTTCAGGCGGCCACGGACGAGGAGGCGGTAGGCTTCGCGCACTGCGACGATCTCGACTTTGAGCACCGACAGGGCCTGCAGATGGACATCCTGAAAGCCGAGGGTGAGCCCTGCGGGGATGAGGGCGCTGAACCGCCCGTCGAGGGAGACATCCATTATCAGCGCGGCGGCGGCGGCGTGCCTCTGCCGCCCTCGGGCTCCAAGGACCAGGCCGTGGGGCCTGGTGGCGAGTTCGGGGGCCAAGACAAGCCCAAGATCACAGCGTGGGAGGCGGGCTGGAACGTGACCAATGCCATCCAGGTGAGCGCGGGGCGCGGCGCTCCGCCGCGGGATTCTCAGCTGTGTGGGGGGGTGGGGGCATCCCACCCTCCAACCCTGTGCGCTGGGCTCTACCCAGAATGGAGTCTCCCGGGTGATTTCGGTTGCAGAACCCTCTCCTGTACCTGGGATTTTTCCTTTCCTCATCCCTCCTAACCCTAAACGGGGATCTCTGTCCCTGGTCGTGCCTCCCTCCCAAGACTCCATCCGCAGGACAGCCAGGCTGAGGCGCAGCCAGAGAGACACAGTCCCGAGACCCGGCAAAAAAACGGAAAATGGAGAACACACACCGCGGAGGGTTTGGGGAGGGGGTGGCTGAGGGAGAAAGAAAATCAGGATTCAAGGTAAAAGGTATGGCCTGGGTCTCTGGAATGGATTCACAGCTGCATTTTCAGGATGAAATTGCTGAGTCTGGGAGTCTCCTCCCCCGAGATTCACGCACAAACACGCGCACACACGTACCTAGGCAGGCCCACAACCCCCCTCCCCACAAACCAACACGCACGCACAGGCGCACGGGATATGCATCTATATAGAGACCAAGAAACTATCCCCACAAGCACCCTCCCCACAGAAGCGCATGCCTATACATACCAAACACGCTCACACCTTTTTAACCTAACCGTAACACACACACACAGACTCAAACACATGGAACCCAGCCCTCATTTTCAAAATGTAGCCATTGGGGACAGATTGAGACACACACATATGCACACACACAAGCATTAGTAGCCCCGGCGTTGCCTGCGAACATATTCACCCCTCTTTCCCGAAATTCCGGGTGTTCCGCAAGTTAATACAGAGACAGCTGTACCAAACCTGACCAAGCCACCACCCAAAGCGTATGGCAGCTCTGGTCTCCAAGCCCGCCAATCTTCCTTTCGATTACCAAACCCCTTTCCCCTACCCTACCCCCCTTCTACGCCACCCCAACCCTACCAGGCGGCTGCGAACTCCGCCAGGGTCAGGTTTGGAGCCCGCACAACGACCCCGGCGCTGGGCTGGGGCGTGCAGGATGCGGCTCTCGGGGTAGAGGAGGCCGCCGCCCCCAGGTGCCCCGGAGCCCTGCGGCGTGGCCCAGAGATGTCCCGGAAGCGTACAGTAGTTGGGGCGCAGAACGTAGACTTCCCGAGAGCGGTAGGAAATGGCGGGGTTGTTCCGGAACCCGGGCTTAGAGGGTTTACGCCCGGTCCTGAGAACTAGGCTGTGAGACACAAGACGCCTCTTGCTCCATGGGATCCGGAGGCCGAACTAGCCTTCGTTGCTACCCATTTGGTTGTCTGGGGTGTCTTGGTAGGCCGCGTTCTGGAGACCTGGAGGACAACCAGGACGGAAGGCTGGAGGCCCGTAGGCCTCCGTGGCCTTGGATTTCGTTAGGTTTTCTTCCCCAGTGGATTCTAAATCCTTCTTCCGCATGCGTTCAACCCAACCTCAGGACTGTGGCTCTAGATTCCTTAGGCTTTATCTAGTTTACGCGCCCGTGCTTTCGCACACACACACCCAACCCTCTTAGACCCGCAACTGCTATAATCTACCCGAAGTCCCCTTCTCTTATATCCAACCCATCACTGCACTGCCCTAAGACTCTTTACGGATAGCCCTGCACTCCTCTCCATCCCCGGAGCGCCTGAGGGCCCGCCCTCAAAAGCCCGAATTCTACATCTTCTGCCTTCGTTTGGCAAAGCCCCACCCTCAGGTCCTCTTCCTACCGAACCCATCTCTTTACCCTCCACTGCCTCCTTAAAACGTTTTCTTCTCCATTGTTGTTGTTAAGGGCCATTGAGTCGATTCAGACCCATAGCTACCCTGTCTGTATAAGGTTTCTGAGGAGCTGCTGGTGAGCTTGAACCGGCTACCTTGCTGTTCAAACCGACTTTGCAGTCCAGCACGTTAACCCACAACGCCACACCAGGACTCCGTTTCCACATTAGCACCTCACTTTATCCCCAACTTAAGTCCCCCTTCCCTTTTACATTTCTTAGCTCCTTCTGGCCCCTTCTCGCGTCTTCCTCCTCTTCCCGCTTCTTGGCCTCACTTCTGGTCCCATTCCCAAGAACTGCTTCCAAGTATCTTCACTTTTCCTTTCCCTCCCTGTGGCTTCACTCACCTCCAGTCCCTTCTTCATCTTCTAGACGTTAGTTCACCTTTCCTTCTCAGCCCCTCTCGCTCTCTTTCTCCATAAGTGATTCAACACCCAGACTCCCCATTAGATACCCCAGTACCCTTATTACAAACCAAAAATTAAAACAAAACACATCAACTGCCACAGTGTCATTCCGACTCATGTGTGCGCTGGTAAGTCCGTTCCACTCAGCGAGACTGTAAATCGTTTCCAGAGCAGAAAGCCTCATTTTTTTTTTCTCCCACGAAGAGGCTGGTAGATTCACACTATTGACCTTGTGGTTAGCAACCCAACTCTCGTAACCCACTAACCAGGGCTGCTTATATGACTGGAAGGGCGCTAAAGAGAGTGAGAGCGGGGCTTGCACCTCAGGGGAAGAGGGTTAAACCCCGGTGGCGCAATGGTTAAAGTACTTGACTACTGACCAAAAGCAGTTGGCGCCCACCAGCCACTTTTTTTTTGGGGGGGGGGAATGTAGCAGTCAGTTTTGATATTTAAGACTTTGGAAACCCTATGGGGAGTTTTACTCTGTCCTGGTCGCTGTGGGTTAATGCGTCAGACTGCAAAGCCATTTGAACTGCAGAGTCGGCGGTTCAAGCTCATCTGCTGCTCTTTGGAAACCCTATACAGGGTCGCTATGGGTCGCAATCTACTCGGCGGCACTTAACAACAACAACATACAGAGTCACTATGAGTTGTAACGGAGTCGACGGCATTTTAACAACAATAGGGTCACTGAGCCCTGGGGTGGCGCTGTAGGATAAGCACTGGACTGCAGTTCAAACCCAACAGCAGTAGTTCAAACCCTCTGACTCGAGGACCCACAATCACCAACCAACTCTGGCCATGCAAGGAGTCCTGGTGGTGCCATGGGTTAAACATTGAACGGCTAACCACAAGGTCAGCGGTGAAAGATGAGGCTGTCTACTCCCATAAAGAGCTACAGTCTCAGAAACCCCAAAGAGAGGTTCTACTCTGCCCTGCAAGGTCCCTAGAATCGGAATTGACCGAAAAACAAGTAATTTCCCGCAGTACACTTAGGCCACGCCCCCAGGGCCCCACTTCCAAAGCTGCGTTAGCTGAGCGCCTGCGTCTGGTTGCTTCTCCGCTCCACAGGGCATGTTCGTGCTGGGCTTGCCGTATGCCATCCTGCATGGCGGCTACCTGGGGCTGTTCCTCATCATCTTCGCCGCCGTTGTGTGCTGCTACACCGGCAAGATCCTCATCGCGTGCCTGTACGAGGAAAACGAGGACGGAGAAGTGGTGCGCGTGCGGGACTCGTATGTGGCTATCGCCAACGCGTGTTGTGCCCCACGCTTCCCCACGCTGGGCGGCCGCGTGGTGAACGTGGCACAGATCATCGAGCTGGTCATGACATGCATCCTATACGTAGTGGTGAGTGGCAACCTCATGTATAACAGCTTCCCGGGGCTGCCAGTGTCGCAGAAGTCCTGGTCCATCATTGCTACGGCCGTGCTGCTGCCCTGCGCCTTCCTCAAGAACCTCAAGGCCGTGTCCAAGTTCAGCCTGCTATGCACTCTGGCCCACTTTGTCATCAACATCCTGGTCATCGCCTACTGCCTATCGCGGGCACGTGACTGGGCCTGGGAGAAGGTTAAGTTCTATATCGACGTTAAGAAGTTCCCCATATCCATTGGCATTATTGTGTTCAGCTACACATCGCAGATCTTCCTGCCTTCGCTCGAGGGCAACATGCAGCAGCCCAGCGAGTTCCACTGCATGATGAACTGGACTCATATAGCTGCCTGCGTGCTCAAGGGCCTCTTCGCGCTCGTCGCCTACCTCACTTGGGCCGACGACACCAAGGAGGTCATCACGGATAACCTGCCGGGCTCCATCCGCGCCGTAGTTAACATCTTCTTGGTGGCCAAGGCGCTCTTGTCTTACCCGTTGCCTTTCTTCGCTGCTGTCGAGGTGCTGGAAAAGTCGCTCTTCCAGGAGGGCAGCCGCGCCTTCTTCCCCGCTTGCTACGGCGGCGACGGGCGCCTCAAGTCCTGGGGGCTGACGCTGCGTTGCGCGCTCGTTGTCTTCACCCTTCTCATGGCCATCTACGTGCCGCACTTCGCGCTGCTCATGGGCCTGACAGGCAGCCTCACCGGCGCGGGCCTCTGCTTCCTGCTGCCCAGCCTCTTCCACCTGCGCCTGCTCTGGCGCAAGCTGCTGTGGCACCAAGTCTTCTTTGACGTCGCCATCTTCGTCATCGGTGGCATTTGCAGCGTGTCCGGCTTCATACATTCGCTGGAGGGCCTCATCGAGGCCTACCGAACCAACTCGGAGGACTAGAGTTCCAGGGCGCCCCGGCCACGCCCCCGCGCTCTCCCCCACCGTCTCATCCACCCCTGCCCCCGCCTGCCCAACTCTCCTCCACCCTCCCTAGCCCCGTGCGCCCTGCCGCTGCGCTTGGGAAGCCAAGCTTGCAACATCTCTGGTTCCTAGTTTCTGATTATTCGGGGAATGGGGGGTGGGGGGATCGGGATCCATGATCCATCCCGTCTGCGTTTCTGTTGTTCTGTCTTTTCCATGACGCCCTGGTTTGGATGAGTCGGGCGAATTTGTGGGTAGAATTTTCTGTCCTTCCGGGAGCTGTCCCAACGCTAGGGTCCCAGCCACCGGGGAGGGAGGGGAGGAAGAGGGGACACAGCTCGCAGGCGCGAAAACGACCTTGGGGGGACATTTCACAACCATCCAGTGCTCGGAAATCTGCCGCGTCCAGTCTTTTCTAGCAAGAGCTCTTCCCATTCCGGAGACATTTCAATCCTGCAGCGGGAAAGCCTAGCCGGGAATTCCGTTTCTGGTGGGAGATTTCCTCCAGTTAAACGGATAGGCAAGAAGCCACAGGGGGCCATCTTGCCTGCCTGTTTTCAGGAATCCAAACTCATCTTGTGCAATTTATCAGATTGTGGAACTGTTCTACTGTGCGTGTGGTGTGTTCGTGGTGATAAGATGAAATGTATATCAGAAAAAAATCTATCTCTAACTTAGAGTGCGGTGCATAATTATATCCGCAAATAAAGAAGAAACAAAGGCGTGCGCGCAGCAGCATCATATGTCAGTTCTGCACGTTCTCAGGGGCCCAGGATCCCCGAGCGGTGAGTGACAGGGAGGCAGGCTCCCGCCTAGAGAAAGAGGCAGCAGGGGGCGGGAAGTGGTGGTGGAGGAGGAGGAACTGCTGCAGTGCTTAAAGCAATCCGAGGGAGCTCCGAGGTTGATTCGAACCTAGGCACCAAGAGAGATGAGCTCGAGGTGTCTGGGGACGCCGGGAAAGGAACAAGTGGTGGTGGAGCCGTTCAGGCCCCCAGTCACTGGACAAAGTTTATTCCAAAACTTTCCGCAGGATAAGATTCATCTGAGAATTTGGTGAACGGCCTCAGATTTCAATTCTTAAAAAAGCAAACAAACAAAATACTTTTATGTACAAAACCTTACACTTTTGTTCAGAGTGTAAGTGAACAAATCAACGTTGCCCTTCCTGGAGCTGACAGTTTAGAAGGGGGGACACAGGCAATAAGCAAGAGCACAAAGAAACCCACAAAATAATAGCCAACTCGGAAAAAAGCAGGTTATCTACAACAGGCCCGGGGTCCGTCTCCAGCTCAGCTCCCCACTCGCTTCTCTCATCACATAGAATTGCCCTTCTGGTCCGAATTGGCTGCACTCAGTGGCTGCCAAGAGAATCCACAGTCCTGAGTCCTTTTTTTTCTCCCTTTTCCTGCGGAGCCCGCTTGAGAATGTGTTTGTCTCAGTGACCCAGAAGGTCTGCGGGATGCGACTCCAGAAGAGGAGTGGCAGGTCAGAGGTAATTTGGCAGTATCTGGGCCAGACTTTCCGGGTACCAAGGACAGTGGGTGCTTCTCTAGGTCAGCCCTTACTGCCAGATCCGCCACGCAAAGAGAGTCCTTGAGCTCCACCGCTGAGGCAAAGGCCTCTTTTGGAACGATTTATGATTTATGCATGCTCGCTGAGCTGGAAAGAACCTGAGAACCGCTCGTTCATCACGCGTGCATGTGTGTGAGAAACAGAAATTCGATGTGAAGATACGTGTGTGGGGTGGGTATTGTGTGAGAGCCTTTGGTGAGTGTGTGCGAGTGCAGAACGTCTGTGTGGGCGTGCTCCGTGACGCGTATGTGACAGAGGTGACCTGGTATCACCCTGGTTCTGAAGCCACAGAACACGAGTAGGAGGGAGGAGGAGACAAGACCCGGAGCCCTCGGCCGGCGGTTGTGACTGACGTTTTAAATGTCAGTTTGAGATGTCCACTGTTATTTCCCCAATCATCCTTTGTTAGTAATGTCGCACGCTCGGAATCCTGAGCTGATAGGAGCGTCTTCAGCTTTATGTCCCCGACACCTGCAGATGTCTCCCAAGCCTGGGGGATAGATTGGTCAATTCCCTGCCTCGTTTCCCACCGCTCCTCAGGGAGTCCACGGCTCCTGGCGTGAGCATAGTCCACTGCCTTGCGAAAACACCTACCCATCTGCAGTGGAAGGGAGGTGGGCGCGTCCGCAGCAGCAGCAGCGCAGGCTTTCCCGTTTTTAAAAGGACGAGTAGCTACACACCACGATTGCCACCTCCGTTGGCTCGACTGGCTCCGCTCCACTACATACCTGCTCCGGGATTTGTACTGAACTTTCGCGGGGGGAGGCTCGGAGGGGAGAAGGGGGATCCCCAAGGGTGGGTCCTGAGGGTGGCAGAGGAGGAGAGCCAGTTCCCTAGACGCCCAAGGGCGAGTTGCACCCTCGCAAGTGGAACACCAATTTTCAGACGTGCAATATGGCTGCTGGGAGAAAAGATAGAAGAATAGAAGGGAACCATCTTCGTCCCCTCCCTACCACCACCACCAAAAGGTTGTCTCAGTGCGTGTTGTTGTTGTTATTGTTAAGTGCCTTCGAGTCGTTTCCGACTCATAGCGACCCTGAACAGGGTTTCCGAGGCTGTAAATCTTTACGGGAGCAGAAAGCCTCATCTTTCCCCTGCGGAGCAGCTGTTAATTTCGAACTGCTGACCTTGTGGTTCGCAGCCCGATTCGTAACCACTACGCAGCCGCTGAAAAGAAGAAAATGAAGAACTCCTGAGCGAATTCAGTCTGGCAAAGCTCCTTTGTTATTGCTATTGTTAAGTGTCTTAGAGTTGATCTCGACTTATAGGGTTTCCCAGGAGCGGTTGGTGAGTTTGAACCGCTGACCTTGCTGCGATCCAGTGTTTTATCCCACAGAACCACACCAGGACTCCTACAGGCTTCCCATTGTTGTTGTTGCTAAACGCCATCAAGGTGGTTCTGATTCACAGCGACCCTGTATAGGGTTTCCCAGGAGCGGCTGGTGAGCTTGAACCGCCGACCTTGAGATTCAAAACAACCTTGCAGTCCAACGTATTAACCCACAGCGCCAAACCAGAACTCTAGGCCTCCCATTGTTCTTGTTAAGTGCCGTCGAGTGGAGGATTTCCAAGGAGCAGCTGGTGAGCTTGAACCACCGACTTTGCAGTTGAAACGACTTTGCAATCTGACGCATTAGCTCACAGCGCCACACCAGGACTGGTTATGTGCCGTGGAGTCGGTTCTAATTCATAGCGACCCTGCACAGGGTTTCTGAGGCTGTAAATCTTTACGGGAGCAGAAAGCCTCATCTTTCTCTTGCGGAACAGCTAGTAGTTTCGAACTGCTGACCGTTAACAGCCCGATTCGTAACCACTATGCCACCAGAGCTCCTTGGGACTCCCATTAGTTCTCATCAATTCTTTCCGAGCGTCCTGAATGGACCCACTGTGGACCCTCGAAAACTGTCCCTACCACGACCAAAGCAGCCACTCTGTCGGCGCGCGGGGCCCACTGTGCCAAGAGCCCTACGTGGAACAACCAAGATCTTGCCGCGGGAGGAATCCAGGAGTCGCCGCCACTTCTGAGGATCACGGTCCGGAGAAGGCCCGCTCGCCCCCCAGCGGCTGGAGCGCGCGGTGCATACCTCGAAGAGAATGCTCCTCCTTGAGAATTTGGGGACGCTCTTTTGCAAATAACCCAGATTCTTAAGCACTTCTCACCTACATCATGGGCCCTCCCAATTGATAATTATTACTTATCTCTAATACTTTGTTTTAGGTCCTTATTATTTCAAAAATGGATTTCTTGTTCGTTCTCAAACAAGATTCTTTACTATTTTATTGGACATGGCATCCCCATCCCAGGGACTGGTGTCCTCCGCTCAAGGTCTGGGACAGAGGGACATAGTTAAATAGACCCCGTGGGTATCTGTGAGGAAGTGGAAAGGATCCAGACCTCACTATTCTAGGGAAGATTTCAAGATCAAAGAACAAAGAGAAGCTTTGGTAGAGGAGGTAGGTTTGGGGACGACTTAATATTCCTGGGGTGTGATGGTGAGGTGAAGAACTAAGACCAGCAAGGGGCCTGTAGTTCTCACCAGCCCATGGATATCCAGAGACTTAAGGCTGATTTGACACCAAACAGCCAGTCTTGGGTGTCATTAGCATCTTTTAACTTCTTTTTCTCTATTACTATGAAAAATTTGAAATAAACAAGAAAGATGGAAGAAATTAGCATAGTGGTTACAAATTGGGCTGTGAACCACAAGGTCAGCAGTTAGAAACCACCAGCTGTTCCATGGCAGAAAGATGAAGCTTTCTGCCTCGGAAACCCTGTACAGGGTCACTATGAGTCAGAACTGACTCCACGGCATATAAACACCACCACCCATACATCCACCGCTTAGTTTGAACAATGAACATTTTACAATGCCTTGTCTATCCCCTATCTATCCATCCAGCAATCCATCTTATTTGTGTGTGTATGTGTGTGTGTTATCAAAGTAAGTTACAGATATCGATACACTTCCCTCCCAATTACCTCCCTCAGTGAGTGTCGTTCAGTAACAGTGTCGTTCAGATGGTGCTGGGTCACTACCTGTGCAGTGTTGAATCATTTTGGAGTTTGAGGCAAAAGGAAAAATCAGTAACACCAACCCTGTCCTTATTTCAAATTGTATTTTGTTCATCATAGGTTTTTGTATTAGTTTTCATATTCAAAATTATGATTATTGTTGTTAAGTGCCCTCAAGTTGTTTTGGACCCATCATGACCCTGTATAGGGTTTCCAGCTGGTGAGTTTGAGCTGCTGACTTTGTGGTCAGTGCCACACTGGGACTCCAATATTTTAATGCCATCTATTCAAAATAGATGGCATCAAAATACTATCTTGAGCACAGAATATTTTTTGGGAACCCATTTAAATTTTGTTCTTGACACAAGTGCTTTCTTCGCTGACCTTACTTGTGAGGTAGTGCTGAGGAGATGAACTCTCCTCCATAGAAGTTTGGTTGAAGTTTTTTTTCCCCCCGAGTCTGGCTACAGTTGAGTCTACAAGGATCCTGTGGGTGCTGCCTCTGCCATCTGTGGGATCCAGAAGGGAGCAGGTGAAGAGAGGCCTCTGGACTGGGAAACAAAAGGATGGTCCAGCACTGCTGAGGGTCAGTGGCATCCGTGGTATGAGCCCCTAGGAGCCTCACACTTCTAGGGGCTCACAGCTACTCTCTGGGATGGATGGAAACCAGGTGAGGAGATTGAGGAGCTGCTGAGGGAATGGGACAGGAGGTAGGGGACTGAGTCTATATAGATGTTGGTGTTGCTGTTGTCAAGTGCCGTCAAGTCAGTTCCGACCCATAGTGACCCTGTATAGAGTTTCCAAAGAGCAGCTGGTGAGCTTGAACTACCAACCTTGCAGTTAAAACAGCTTTGCAGTCTGGCGCATTAACCCACAGTGCCACACCAGTCTATATAGATAAAAGAGTCAAATTCTTGATATTACCCAGTACCCATTACAGGGTCTAGCACGCACACAGAATTTACTTATAAACTATTTATTAAGCACCTCACTATAAGCTACAGGCGCTGGTGTGGATAAACATTGGACTGCTAACCACAATGTCAGCAGTTCTTTGGAAACCCTACACAGGGTTGCTATGCATTGGAACCGACTTGATGGCACACAACAACATAAACTACACATTGTTCTGGACTCT